TTTTCCTTCTACCAAAGTTTTGGGTTTTGATAATGTCAAATTACTTATTCTTGACATTTGACTTCGACTCCCAGCCTACCTTCTTCAATACTTTGTTCAACTATTTTCCAAGTAACACAATAGCATTGGATATCCCTTGTTCTGTATCCAAGTCACATTCATCTTCTAGGTCATCAGTATTAGAGATAAAGACAGTGCTCTTATTTTTTCAGATCTTTCACTGGTTCCTAACTCAAAGGTATGTAAAGATTCCATAAGCCCATCAACCTTCATGTTGTTTATATCGTGAGATTCCTCAATGGCAGTCACTTTCATGTCAAATCTCTTTAGAAGAGATATGAGAATCTTCCTCACCAACTTGGCTTCTGACATCTTCTCGTCTAGGGCACTTGAGGCATTGGCTATCTCAATAATATTCATGTGAAAGTCATGAATACTCTCATCCTCCTTTATTATTAAGTTCTCGAATTTGGTGGTAAGAATTTGAAGCCTTGACATCTTAACCTTAGAGGTTCCTTCATGAGCAGTCTTCAATAACTCTCAGACTTCTTTAGCAACAGTGCAATTGCTTATCAGTCTGAAGATATTTTTATCCACTCCATTAAACAAAGCATTCAAAGCTTTGGAGTTTCCTTGAGATAACAGTTCATTTTCATCATTCGAATCTTCCTCAGCCTTCATAACATCAGTGGCCTTTCCATTGTCACCTACAACTTTCGGTGGATCCCATCCTTAGACCATAAATTTTTGAGCCTTGTTGTCCAAAAAATTGATGAAAGCCATCATATGTGCTTTCCAATAATCATAATTGGTCCCATCAAAAATGGGTGACCTGTACCCAAATCTTCCTTCTTTGTCTATTGTACCAAAAATTAACTTCCTTAAATCTCACCCAGAGTCAGAGCAGGATGTCTGCTCTAATACCAATTGAAATTTAGATATTCAGACCACAGATGTCCTAAGAGATGTCGAGACACTGTAATCTGACTTCAACATAATAAACAATATAACACAATAAAACGGTGTAGAAATGTAAAAAACACACATAATTGTTAACCCAGTTCGGTGTACAACAACATCTACTATGGGAAATACCAGGTCAGAGATAAAGTCAACTAGATAGTATCAATTTGTAGACCCACATCAAACTTTCACCTAGTTTACAATCTACTCACTTAATCATTACTCGTGCTTAACTTCTATCTAAGACTCACCTAGGTATGACACTCTTCTCAAATTCCTTCCAGTCGCAAACAATGATAAGAATATAATTCAAAAGAATTACTTAATAGACACACTTCAAAGACAAACAACCATTCGATATTTAAAAGCTTATGAATGATTGACAGCAATTACAACTCAAAATAATAGTCCTACTCTTCTATTAAAGTGATAATAGAGAGGCTCACAATAAACAAAACAAATACATTCACTAAGACTCAGTGTTCAATCAACACACAAGAACCCTTAAAATCATGTTTTACAATGCTACACAATGTACTATATTTTTCCACACTTGTATTAGGATTGAAGCCTTCTTTTTATAACCTTGAAAGGACTGGATTTAGGCTTCAAAAACGCAGTTGATCTATTGCAGAAAATCAACAGAAACTTTTCCATGAAAATAGGGCTTCAATGATTTATTTCCTAAAATTTCTCAATATTTAATGAAACAAATTTATCTTCTAAATGCATAAGAGATCTCTGATTCTTCAGTTTTAGACGCCACATATGATTACTTAATATTCTCAGAATATTCAGTAATTTAAAACAATTGTAAAACAACTATAACAGATCAGGTGTCCTACTCTTCTTGGTTAGGACATCGCATTCGACATATTGAAACAGCAAGTTGAAACGTCTTGTTAAGCATATTTCTACCAAGTTAGTTTTACTAAAATTGATGCCAATTACAATAAAATAGAAATAACAATATAAAATGGTTCATTGGGTAACAATTTTATGAAAATATCCGCCAATTATTTATGTGTATCCATAAAGTAACTTTGACATCTCTTTTGAGCAAATGATCTCGTAGAAAGTGATGCCACATGTCCTATATGTTTGATTCTTGAATATATGACTCAATTTTTATTATATTGATAGCACTTATATTATCACACTTTAAAGGAATGCATATAAGGTTCACGTCATAGTCGCAAAGTTATTTTAACGAAAAAATTTAGTCGTAAAGTTGTTTTAACGGGAAATTTTATGCATAACAACTTCCTACTGCAACATATTTTACTTCAGTTGTACTAAGAGCAACACAAGTTAGCTTTTAACATCACACACATAGTCTTTTTGCTTCTTAAAATCACCATAAACTTGTACAAAATAAACACCTATATGTTTACGGCTAGTCACAAACTGATAATTAATCAAAATAATACATGGTAAAACAAATCATTCTTTTATAATAATAATAAAATTTTAAAAAATTACTCATATTTATTAGTGTTAGATATGTTTTTGATTCCTATAAATTATCAAATTTTATTTTTGGTCTTTATAAAAAAATATGACATTATTTTAGTCGTTATAAAATTATTATGCACGTAATTTTAGTTTATGTTGTTAAACTGATGTGTATTTTTGAATGATTATTTTGTAGATATGTTTTGAACGTTATAAAAAATTCCTCGAATAAAAAAACTCAAAATTTGATTTCTAAATCAAAATTTTTGTTACTTTCATCAATATCTTTTGAAATTAAAAAAAAATCATATTTAATTTATCTTATTTTTAAAAAATTCTAAAATTTAAGAAAATAATATTTTATAATATTTTAAACACGTATGAAAAAAATATTCAAAATTAAAAAAATTTAAAGGTAATTAAATAACCTTCAAAATTTTAGAAACTAACTCAAAAATATGTCATTTTTTTATTAAGTACTAAAAATAAATTTTAAAATATTTATAAAGAACAAAAACATATTTAACCTTATTTACTATTGTAAATAAAAAGCCATACATGCCGTTTTATATAGAAACAAGAATTTTCAAGAATTTTTTTAACATATATGAGTGAGATGTGATTTTTCATGCGATAAACGGTAGAATCTGAGAATTGTAAGTCAACAAAAAATGTCAATGAAGTATACAACAAATAATTCATGAGATGAAACAGACCCAGATTTCAACCAAAAGATAATCATGAAGCCTGATACTAGACATTAACATACAGAAAAAATTGATCAAAGAATGCCTTGAGCTGGGAAGTAGCAGCAACACATTTTTAGCACAAACATCATAACACATTATTTTATTGATTAACATTCATGATTCCATCAGCATCTGAATTTTGTATTGAACTCCTAAACTGACATAGAAAACATAGCTGCAATGTATAAAGTTGGGATACTGAGCAAATTTTTAGAAGTAATATATTTCATTATCTTGACATAGCTTTTGAGATTGATTTCAAATTGAAAGATGCAATGAGTGGTCTCGAGAACAACTATGCAGAACATGAGTGATTCTGAGAACAAATAAAAACCGGTGCAGCTGCTCAAGACATTCATAAGAAACAAATGGTTCATGGCCCTGTATGCATCAATAAGTATTGCAGAATGTTAATGTGTAGTCTCGCAATGAAACAGCATTCAACATCAGTTTGTTCACCCTGCATTTTACAATTGAAATCTGCAGAGTGATTTTACAAAGCGGCCGAGAGAATGCTCAACCACAAAAAGAACCATGACAGTAAGAGAGGCAACTGAATAAGTCTCAGCCAGAGAACGACTTTGAAGCACAGCATGCTCTATTATTTCTTCTTACATCAACACTACACACAGCTCTTTAGTTCTAATGAAAAAGGTAGAAATAGGCAATGAAAACGGAACGGATCAGAGACAGTTTTTACCTCCCCAAAACCCAAACCCGAGTTTCCAAATATTCCCCGTTCCCCAGCTACGGCGATGGAGAATTAAAATTTAAACCCGTCCCAAACAGGTTCGGGTTGGATTCGGATATCCCCGCACTGCCACCATCCATTTAGTAAAATTAATTTTTTTAATAAAAATATTTATTTTTTTCAAAATTAAATTACATTATAAATAATAAAATAAAATATCAAAAAATTACATACATACATTTCAAATATTTTAAATAATAAAGATAAAATAAATTATCAAATCATTGACCACATATTTAATATTTTAAATTATCAAAAATAAATAATAATGTACGTATAAAATAAACCGGGTTCGGAGGCGCGTTTGCAGTGGATACTAGTGTCTCCATTACCCGATCCATTATCATATTTTGTAATTGGGAAAACCCAAACTCAGTCAAAGCGGATTTTCTCCGTCAACTTCGAGGCGGGTTCGGATGAGTACCCGCGAATACGGGTTTTGTTGCCATGTCCGTAGAAACCTTTCATAGGAAAAAAAAAAAACACTTTTTGATTCCACAGAAGAATACTCTCGAAACACGCAAAATCAGCATATAGGAAAATCAAATTTCATATAATATCCAACCCAAGAAAAGAGGGGAAATGATGATTTGAGTAAGACTAGAAAAACATAATAAATAATAAAGACAGAACAAGATTATTAAGTTCACACAATACTGCAAACAGGTGAAGGAATTAATAGTTACTACAACTCATTGTAGACAAAGTAGAAACACCAAATTTAAAAGGTAACAAACAGATATAATAATAACAGGGAGGAACTTAAAAGTCGAAATTGAAAATTGAATTGTGAGTCTAAATAACACCAGACTTAGGGTAAGCAACACAAATGATAACAAAACCACATTCAATCTGTTCATGTCAAAGAAAGAAAGAGCCACTCGACATAGACCAGTTCAAATATGTTTAATAAATCCAGGAGGCAGCTAGTAAGAGCCTTACATATAACATCCATCTTTGTAATGAAAACAGAATATGGAAAGATATACACTGACAGTTGAATAGATTCAATTTTTGACCCCAACAATAAGGACATGATCAATATCTTCGATACAAGCCACCTAACCGGACTCAGACCATGATCAATATCTTCCCTGCATAAAATAACAAAAACTAATCACATTTTGCATTAATTGAAACAAGGAAATTACTTTTTTTCTTTCTGATAGCACATATTACAGAGTTATAGGTTCGCCATTTACAGTTTCACAAAATTCCTAAGACAAGGCGAGCATTACTTCTCTACAAATAAAAATTATTATTCTTATATAAACATAAATATTGCTCAATCTATTCTAGTATACCTCGCCAGTAAAATTTCCTGGGCCTGGAGGTGGAAATCTTTGTTGGGAACCTGACTGTTCATTGGCATGCTGATTCCCCTTATTGGCTTGTTCAAATTCCTCCATATATGACGGTTTGAAATCCCATCCACCTTCACTAGGCACAGAGTCTCTTCTTTCTCCTTGTCCTGGTGGTCCAAAGTTCTGTTGTGGAGCAAAATTTCCTTTTTCTCCTTGTCCTGGTTGTCCAAAGTTCTGCTGTGGAGCAAAATTTCCTCTTTCTCCTTGTCCTGGTTGTCCAAAGTTCTGCTGTGGAGCAAAATTTCCTCTTTCTCCTTGTCCTGGTTGTCCAAAGTTCTGCTGTGGAGCAAAATTTCCTCTTTCTCCTTGTCCTGGTGGTCCGAAGTTCTGTTGTGGTGCAAAATTTCTTCTATCTCCTTGCCCTGGTGGCCCGAAGTTCTGCTGTGGGGCATAATCTCTTCTTTCTCCTAGTCCTGGAGGTCCGAAGTTCTGTGGCGGCACATAATTTCTTCTTTCTCCTTGTCCTGGTGGTCCGAAGTTCTGTTGCGGCACATAATTTCTTCTTTCTCCTTGTCCTGGTGATCCAAAGCTCTGTTGTGGTGGAGCAGAAACAAACGTTTGTTGTTGGGAGTAATTCTGTGGTGCTTGATCAATGTTACGTGGGGGTGAATAATTTTGTTGGGGTGGATATCCTTGCGATGTTTGACCATGGCTCTGTTGGGGTTGGCTCTGTTGGGGTTGATATCCTTGTGATCCTTGTTGGGGTGGATAGTTTTGTGAAGGTCCGTAGTTTCTTCCACCCTGATTATTGTAAGAGGGATTCCCTTGTCCTTGTCGATTAAAGTCTCGTCTTCCTCCTCCTTGGTGTCTCCCATATTGTACGGGTGGAGGTCGAGGGATGATCGTTCCATCAATGTACTGATCTCCTGTATCACACATCCAAAGTGGTTCACATAATCAAAGAGTAAATCACTTATATTGAAATTGATCTAGGCATTTCTAGAACTAAGTTAAAATGATACCTCCATATTGCTTGTTGACAGGGTCAATATAGGAATCTGGTAGCACAAAGATGACTCCGGGAAGACCTGTTGTTGAAAAGCATAAAAATGTATGAATTAAACTAAAACAAGGCTATTGAATGAAAGGTGAGTAGTAGGAACAGGGTTTTAAAAAACAGGCCGCCGACCGACAAAGCCGTTTCAAGAGGTGCTGATACCAATACCCTGTAATCACTATTGCGACGACCGCAATCACTATCGTGACACCGCAACAGCCACAGTCAGTATCGCGACGGCCGCAAAAATTGTACCGGCCGAAATAGCTAAAGCTTTTACACGACTGCGGCCGTTTTTTTAAAACCCTGATTAGTAATAAGAATAAATACTTTCAAATTTCTTGGACTCTTCTTCAGTGACCACGGCCTGAAAGCCAGTGTAAGTGGTTGTGCTGCAAGCATAAATTTTCTTCTTTGCCTCTTCCACACTAAAATCACACACACATTCAAACTTATAAACAATTTTTGATAAACAAACTTTCAAGAATCTTAACTATATTTTGTAATTAATCATAATAATAATAAACCTGATATTGAGACCCTTAGCACAAGTCTCTTCATATGTACGAATCATTTCTTCGGGTGAAGGCTTGTTATCTTTGGGAAAATCCATAACGAATAGCCAGTGGTTGTAGTCGCAACCCTCAAAGAGGATCGTGTCAGGACCAATCTCGTCGGGGGTTTCTGTATAACGAGAGGAGAGAAGAGAAATTGATGTAGACCTGAATGAACGGGATTGAACGTTGATGATGTTCGGTGATGATTCCCGACGTGAACATGATGACGATGATGATGATGAAATGTGGGTGGTGATTGGGGGAGTTAGAGTTGATGAAAAGGAGTGGTGGATGGTGGAGAGTGCTCTCAAGGTGCGGCGGTAGATGATTAGCGATGATGCCATCGCGGTGGTCGGAGATAGTAGGGTTTAGCGGGGTTTGGGTTTTAGAGTATTTGTGAATTGTTTGACAATAATCGAAGCTCAGAAGAAGCTAGAAGTTTTTCCAAATGCTGACCGTTTTGACAAATGGGCCTTCTATTGGTCTAAATCTTTAATGTTTGGGCTTTGTTTCTCTTTTTAATAACAAGTTTAAATTTTTTTTACACCCTCCTTACTTATATGTGCATACCACACTCTTGAGTATCTGAAATCATCTTTCATGCGTTTGGAGATGTATTTTTAGACACACTCAAAATCATATCAATGTTTTCTTTTTTGAGTTTCACCCCAGTTTTAAAAAAATAATGTTTGGAGAAGTATTTTTTTATACTATTTGGATGTATTCAGAGATGCACCTCTGAAATACCCGTTGCACTCATTTATGTGGTTTTGTTATTCACTGAATTGATTTAAATAAAAAAGTCATTGATATTTCTGGAGATGCATCTCCAAAAATGTCCAGCGGAAAAGTTGATAAAACACCACCTTGCTTGATCTTCTTCTTTGTGCTAAAACAAGAAAGCATTTCAAAACCCTTGAGAACATTTCTCTCATTCTCAATTAAATTTTCAACACCAAAACATAATTCTTGTATTTCATCACTTTAAAGGGAGAAAAACAACCTGAAATTGTAGGTAAAGATCATTCATTTCATCCCTCATTCCTTGCATTAATCTTAGTTTTAATTTGAAAAATAAACGTTGAGTCCGGAGATGCATCTCTGGACAAAGTTTGGTGCGGTTTGGATGTGCATCTCTGAATTTTTTTGTAGTTTGATTTTTGAGACTTTTTTTTTGTTATCGGTGGTAATAGATATGGTGCATCTAGAAATGTTTCCCAAAGCTACTATGAGTGCGGATGTTAAACCGGACAAAGTCAAGCATGATGTTAAATAGAATGAAGTGAACAATGATGTTAAATCGGATGAAATGAATGATGATGTTAAAATGGATCCGATAATAATTCTGATAGAAGACAAGAATTTGTAACAATGATATGCGAAAGAAGTGACACGTAGAAACCAAGGATTAGGAAGTTGAAACGAGATGACACGGGATCGAGGAAATGTAAGTGTCAGTTTAAATTGTGTGGATATCGTATGGTGAATGAGACATAAAAATTTAATGTGATTCCTGGTATGAATAATCATGCCTTGATTGACAAGCTACTCGGTAATTCCATTGTGTGTCATCTTGTTTTGGAGGAGAGGGAACTTGTTTCGGACATGACATTAAACATGGTGGCGCCGAAAAATATACTCGCATCTTTGAAACGAAAAGGACCTCTAAACATTTCAAATATCAAGAAAATATACATTGTGTGTGTGTTCGAGACAACAAGGCGGTAATAGGACCAAGATCAGAGATGCAACAGCTGTTGAAGCTTTTGAAAGATGACGATTATTTTTATACCCTAAATTTTATCCTGATTTTTTCATCTGCATCAATATAGCATGACCATTTCATTTGATCATGCATTGCATCAATCATAAGCATTCATCGGGGTTTAGATGTAAAGTCATGAGTTCTGGCATTTTATCTAGTTTTGATGGAATTCATTCATTTATCTGTGGATTAAGGAGTCAAAGACTTAATTTCTTAGTCTTAGTGCATCATCTAAAACCATTGCATTGGTCTCAGAAATACAGATGGATGAATAGTTAAGAGTATTGATTTCATCTGTTTGTATTATAGATTTTAACTGTCATTGATGTTTGAGAATTAAAAGCAAAGAAGTCCAAGAGTTTGACTACTTTGCATTTGTTTCTTTATTCACATTTCCTCTATATCATGCATCAGTTTATTTTGGATTAAAGGTCACATTCAAAATGACTTTGTTGACTTTTGATTGCAAATTTTGTTTACATTGTCTTAAGGTCCATTTATTAACTTTCATTTTTGCATTTCACATGAATAAGTCAAAGTCAAGAAATTGACTTTTGACTTTGTCATTTGTTTTTATTTTTGCATATCAATTTGGAAAAGAGGAAGATTAATTTCAAAGTCCAAGAGTTGACTTGTGGTTAATCTTGTTGCATCTTAGTCCTCATTTCCATGTGCATTGGTCATTAGTTTTATTTTTATTTTAGTTTTGATTATTTCAATTAAATTAACTATTTTTGATAATTAAGTTGACATTTATTTATTAAATGTGTATTTTAATTGAATTTCATTTATTTTTTGGTTTTATCATTTTGTGTTAAGAAATAATTAAATTTGCAATCTTAATTTTCAATTTTAATTAATTATTAATATAAAAGATAAAGAGAAGACAAAGGCATTTTTTTTATTAATTAAAAAAATTTCTTACATTACATAAACATATCACAATACACAATTTTCTTTCTCTACATAACATACACCATCTATGAACCACATATACATGTTACACATTAATCCAAGTTCATAAAAGACAAAAAGAAAAAGAGGATTTGTTTTTGGCATGTGAGCCAATCTTCAAGTCTAAACTTTAATTCATCTTCATATTAGCAAGCCACAACTACAATCTTCAAATTATGCTAACTTCCCCCTATTTATCTCAACTTCATCTAAGCCATCAACTAAGCCAAGCTATCCTTGTTCTTTATGCTTCATATCCCATGTGAAGGTGCAAGAAACACAAGAAAAGGGATTTGAATTGAGTTTCTCAAAATAAAATTTCTCGAAACTCAAACATCAATACTTAATAGAAGAATAAAAATAAATGAACACAATTATTTTTATTCTGGTTTACTGTTAACAAAGTTAATCTAGTTCACCCGTCAAGGTGATTTTGCCTTCTCAATAAGGACTTAATACATTATAACTAAACAGATTACAGAACCGCAACAAGATGACTTGTCACTATTGCAAACCACAAAGGCCTATTGTCTATGTCTTCTTGAGTATACAGACTAACACTTAGTCACTCAAGGAACCAAACCTCAAAGAAAAAGTGTCAATACCTTATTGAGTATACAGACCTTCACTTAGTAACTCAAGGAATAATCAATTTACAGTTGAATACATATTTTGCGTTTTCAAGATTGTTTCTTACAAGAATATTACACAAGATTGAAGTACAAATAATAACACAAAAGTGTTAAGCAAGTTAACAAACAAAAGTTCCTTGTTATCAAGTTAACAAACAACAACTTCTTGCTTCACAAAAATTACAGAGTTATTTTGACATCGTTTCTACAATTTGAATAAGTGTGATATTCTTCAAAGTTCTTCAACATTTCCAATTCTGACAAGTCTTCCTTTTATAGCTGAAAATAAATATGTCGAGGAGGGGGGGTAGAATAGGAATACCAAAATTACATTTTTCTTCTTGCAACGGTCAGTGAGAGAGTGGTGGATAACCTAATTCACAAGTAATGTCCTTGCACCATAAAACCAGCATGGTGGAGGCGAGGTGATGTGAAGGTATGAAAAACACAAGAAATGAGGGGTTTGAATTAGGTTTTAAATCAAAAAATTTCTTTTAAAAATATTCCCCTTTAATTAAAATACTTTTTCCTTCACTCTTAATAATAACAATAATTAAGAACAGGAAGTAAATAACATGAAATATTTATACTAGTTCACTTGAAAACTATCAAGCTAGTCTAGTCCACCCGCTAAGGTGATTTCGCCTCTCTCAGTAGAGGACTTAATCCAATTATCCAACGGATTATTATAATACACAAGCTACCCGCAAGTGACTAACAACCTCTAAGACACACAAGTCCTAGACTTCTTAAGGATAGAGACCTAACCGATCCCTTAAGGAAAATCAAACCTCTAAGACACACTAGTCCTAGACTTCTTAAGGATACAGACCTTACCGGTCCCTTAAGGAAATCAAACAACTGTTTGAGTACAAGTTTTATTTACAATAATATTGCTTCTATACAAGCTGAATATGTAAACTATTTTAAGAACAATAGAGTAAAAACGTGAAAGTTATGAACAACGCTTGTGCATGGATATTCAGTAAAAATTCGCCAATAAAATAATATGTTTGTTTAGGGATACTCTTGGGATTTCCAAAAACATTGGCAGCTTGAGAAATCATGTGGGGGATAAGATCGTGCAACGCGTCCGTCCTTTTATGGTAGTGGAATGAAATGTTGATTGTGCCATGTCTCTAGAAATCCAAAATTGTGCCAACGTAGTTTTGATTTCTAGAACTTGGTTATTGAAATCAAAATTACGTTCATTTAATTACTCTCCCTGTTTGTCATAATCAAAAAGGTAAATGTGTGAAAAATATAAAAACCAGAAGAGGATAAAAAGTTTCATTGATATTTCAAAATGATTACAACAGAAGGAGAAACAACGGACTGAAGACAAACAAGGGAAACTATCTAAACTTCAAACACACCACAACTATTATTTCCGAAAGATGAATGATTTTTGGGAGTTTCTGGGTGCAAGGATTGATAACTTCAGATGATTAAATATTATTTCCGAAAGATGAATTGAAATATTCTTGCGAAGGCAATAAAGAAGAAATGTGTCCCTAGGAAAATAAGCGTTCTCTCTCCCCCCCCCCCCCCCCCCCCCCGAGTGCTACATATCAGAGCAACGACACCAATAAGCTACTAAGTCTCTACTCCTCGTTACCTGCACGTTACCAGTATAAAGGCAACAGCGAAACAAATAAAGGGGTGAGACATCGAATAATATAAATAAGATTATGATAATTAATATATTAGACAAGAGCATTATAAACTTCACTACTTCTCAACAACACACAACAATCAATAAACATTCACAATTATCATTAGCGATTCAAAATGAAATTCAAATACGACACAACTGTGCATATGCATGTGGTACCAACAGGGCTTCAACCCTCTTCACTAATTGCCAATTAATAGAGGCACAAGGCATAAGCCTACTTCACAAATCCGCCAATACAGGCCTTTACAAAATGCAAATGTATGAGACTCATGTAACATACAACATCACATATATATCATTCACCACAAACTTCAT